CACACTTTATTTTTCTAGACTTCCCCCAGGCTCATCGGGGCATGGATTGGCAGGGATGCTGAAAGGGTGATAAGCAAAGCTGAAAACAGTTTTGATGTCTCCCCCTCTTATCTAAGACCAACTATCTTGAATGTGAGGAATCCTTCAAAATCAGAATCACAAAATCACAGAATTGTTTGTGTTGGAAAGGATCTGTAAAGGCCATCTGGTCCAACTCCCCTGCAAGGAACAGGGACACCTACAGCTCCATCAGGTGCTCAGAGCCCCATCCAGCATGATCAAGTTCTATTTGCGTTATGAATAAACGAATAAAGTCTACAAGCTTCTACAAGGTCTCTCAAGACCTTCCTTGTCAGATCCGTATCATTACGGGTTGTTAGAGTTAGGATAGTATGATTAGGTGGAGGTTGGACTTGATGATCTTGAGGGTCTTTTCCAACCTGAGCAATTCTATGATTCTGTCATTATCCCTTACTGACTTATGGGCTGTTTGGGGATACTTTGCTCAAATCCAAGTTGATCTCCTTTTTGTAAACAACAGACAGCCTGGGGTTTCTTAACGATCTTATTTCCTCCCCACACTGATAGAATTGTAATTATCATGCTCTGTGTTCAGACCAAATTAAGTGACACTGTGTTTTTCTTCCCCACTTAAGGAACCTTTGATCTCCGTCTTGGAATTTCTCAGTTATTCTCCACTAAGAGCAGATCAAGTTTATTATCGTAGTGCATGCGTGAGCTTGTATGTATGTATGTAAGTGAAACATTCCTGTAGTTATTTGATAGCTTTTTTCTAACTTCATTCAGAAAAGAATGGTAAAAAATAGACTGAGCTGGGCAAGCTTCTCCAAAAACCTGAAGTGAGGGAGATTTGGCACCGTGCTGCTATCTGCAGTGTCCTCACCATGCTGCAGTGGCTTTTGTTTCCTCTGTCTTTGTGTATGCAGGTAAATAAAGGTTTCAAAACTATTTTAGACAGCTGGAGCTGAAATACTGGTGTATTTCACTGGTGTAATACTGGTGTACTGGTGTAGACTCAAGGCTTGGCATCCTGCTGTCAAAGCAGCAGCCACCAAGCAGGAGCAGCAGTGGAATATTCAGCAGTGCTGTCTGAAGGGCTGCAATTGCTGCAGTTGACTCTGGGAATAGTTCCAAAGCTGTCATTGGCTTTATTGTTGGAATATGACCGTGGTCTGTATGACTGAATCATTCCTAAGAATATGAAAATGTGTTTTCTAGTGGCTGGGCTGGAGGGGGTGAAGTATGTTTTTTGGAAGCTAGCAACCTGAGTGAAGGGCTGAGCACTACTGAGTATTTCTTGCTATTCAGGGAATCCCCTTTTACCTCCTTTCCTGTCCCTTGGAGTGATGATTAAATGGAAGCAATCAAGAGCCAGAAATGTTGCTAATAATCTGCAGTAAAAGGAAATCAATATTTTCAAAGTCAAGGAAGAGGCCATAGATGAGGGCAGAGGAATTAATGTCAGGTCGTGTGTCAGAAGTTGTGTGTATAATGGCTGCCTGCTGCCTGTGTCATCATGCCTCATCTGCTGCTCATTTTTTTGCTTGCACAAAGATTAAATCTGCTTGTCTGGTTGTATTACACGTGTGCAAGTACACACAGGGCACAAATAGCCAGAAGTTGCAGCCACCAAAAACCTCTTTATTAATTTTATGTATGTGATCCTTCGAAAAAAGTCAGTGAGGCAAGAGAAATGAAAATAGACTGGGTTCCTCAGCATCCCATTTGTCTAAGGAAATGAAAATTGCCATTTGTTTCACTAGAAAGAAATAGTGCTGTAACTATCATTAGCTATTGTTGCCCTAGAAAGATTGTGTATCTATTCCCTTCATGACCACTCATTGTGTGCTCCTACAATGGAGTTCTTCCATTTTATCTTCCTTTTTCTCCTTTTTCATGAGCGTGATTAAGAACAACTGGACTCCATCCAGTCTCCTGTACGCAGAGCTTGAAAGCAAAGTGCAATAATTGTTACAGCAAGAAGCACATTAAAACCAGCTCTCACTGGAAAAACAGGTGTGGAGGAATATTCTTCTGCTTAATAGCCAGAGAGATCATAAAGTTCTTTTTGTGAAATCACCAGTGGTTTCTCTCTTCTCTTTCATTACATACTCCAGAGCTGAGGCACATCTGCCTTCTATTGCTGTCTTTGGTGTTTTGATCATTGCTGCAACTCCTCATGTCCCGATGACTCAGTTTGTCGTTGAGTCCAGTCTGTGTTATCTCACCTTTTCTATTCCACTTTTGACAGTAAGTAGGGGTCTACGAAACAACCTGTGGTCACTGTGGAAAGAATTAAGATGACTGTTCATGATGGAGAAGCACAGGGGCAGCACTACTCTCTGGTGATAGTGACAGGGCCCATGCAGAAGTCAGATTTGACTACGAATCCCAGACTGACCATAGAACTCCCATCCATTTTATTAGTGAGGTTTCATGTGAAAACAGAGCTTTGTGACCTGCAATGGGACCTTTTTGCATTTACTAACCTTGTCAATCCAGATGAAAAAGGACAGGACAAGAGCCTCTTTGAATATCTGACAGTAAGAAAGAGAAGATCGAAAGAACCTTCAGGGGATGTTTAATGTCACAGCCAGCTAGCGTGAACCCAGAGGAATAGCTGGGTGCCTCCAGTGATTCACTGCAGGCCATGGGAGCCTCGTTGGACAGGATTATTTCTCAGGTGGTGAGATTGCTCATTTACTTGCTGGGAGGATTTTCAGGTGGCCATCCTGTTCTGTGGAAAGTCATTTATCCTTCTATAAAGCAGGTTGTAATGGGCAGGGGAGGTGCAGTGCAGGAGACAGAGGCACCGTGGACTGATGCAGGAGAAGGCACAGTTTGTGATGGTTTCTAACTCTGTTGCAGTCCTGCCAGGTTACTTTCAGGAAGTTGTGCACGTGTTTTGCTTCTGTTTTCATACCTGTAAAATGGAAATAGCACTGAGGAGTGGAAGGAGTTTGTGGGGATGGGGAAGGAAAGCCCAACATTTGTTATCAACCGAAAGGAGCCACGAGTCAAATGGTTCTTCTTCCCCTGGTTTTGACACTTCCCCCATCCTTCACCCAACTTCAGGCTATTCCTGTTTGCTGCCAATTTTCTCATCTGGGGGGAAATTAGAAGAAGAGTGGTTTTCCTTTTTTGGGTGGATAAGTAACACTGATTCAAATATGCCCTTCCTCACCTGGATTTCTTATGGAACGATATCCTGAAAGTGGGATTCAGGATCAGATTAAGCACCAGAGCTTCCCGCTGTCTGTCTTGGAGAGTCAGGTGTTTGGTACAGAGACTCAAAATCTGCAACCATTCTGCACAGAGGGCTGCATCATTGGCCAAAAGGAGCAGCCAAAGTGAGGGACTTTCAGCACTGTGCCTTGGATCTGGCTTCTTGAATGCCACTGAGATCTGCTCTCAGAGAAGAGGGTAAAAGATGTCTTGAGGCATATTAGCCTGGTATGTTGAATAGTAATAAACATCAGTGAGGAAAGAAGCCTAATCACCTGCTTCTTTCTCGGGTGAAAATTGCATGTAAAACTGCACAGAAAATGGCAGTCTGTACCTGATTTTACTGTAAGAAGGAGCAGGAACTGCATGAATTTGCCAGTAATAGCTGACAGAAATGGAAACGGAGGACTTTACCTTTAGCACAAGTTTTCTTAGTTGATCCAAATGTTAGCAGCCATTCCATTTGGCCATGTCACTCCAAGAAGAAACTGTGCAAGTAGAAAAGAACTGCATGAAGTTCAGTGGTCTGAATAGATACGGCGTAACCTGGAGCATGTAGGTGAATAGTTGTTCCTCATTGCTTTCCATGTGGACTTCCCCTCTCTATAGCAAAAAGCACCTTTTCAAGTCTTCTCAGTGGCTTTTTTCAGTGGCTATTGCCAACAGCACTTTCAGGAGCATTCAGTCTGATGCTTTCACTTGACATCTTATTTTCCTGATGGCTGAGTGTTGAATTATAATGATTGACCATGGCAAAGTCCCAGCAAGAAATCGGATAAAGGGCAGAAAGAACATCATGAAGAGTTCATTAGGAAGTTATATGTATCCTTTGGGGATCTGAATTTCCTGTTTTACTTCAACTTTCTTGTTTTTAAGACGGCTGAAAATAAGCATGGAAAAGTCTGTTTCATGGGTCTCTCTGTGCTTTTAGTGTCTGGGAGAAGGTATTTTATACTGCACGGGTACCTCCCTGAGTTTTGAGGAGTTCTTAGCAGATGTTGAACCCCTTTCCCCACTTCCAATGCAGACAGTTCCCGGAGCTCCTCAGGGTGACATTGCAACTGGACACGAAATCTCTGATCTTCAGTGAAGTAATTGCTGATTTTCGCTCATGTCTTGGGAGAAATGGCGCCTTGGAGAGAGATCAGAAGGGTTTTCTTTTTCATAGAGTATGGGTGAATGCATCCTACCCATTTCTAAGGTCTGTTCATGTGAGACCTCCACAGCACCTGCCTGTCCCATGGTTGGGAGGTGTGGTTGTCTTCCTTGCAGAATTTATCAGTGATGCTGATGCATTGGAAGACTCTAGAAAACCAATATCCAGTATTGAGATTGCACTGAGATAAGTATGGTGAGAGTGGAGCAACGTTTACTACATGCATTGTATTTTCCTAGTTGGAACACTTAAAACCTAAACCTTTCTGCCTGTGTTTGAATACACCTGTTACAGACACGTTTTCTCTTGAAATCTCTTTTCCATACATTTGCTGTCTTCCAAACCCATTTTCTTACAGAAACAGTTCCCAATAAATATCTTGATAAACTGATGGTCTCTAAGATGTATTTACATCCCTTATTTCTCTTCTTCCCTCCTTTTGGCAGGCTGTCCTCGTCCTCAGACCCCACAGAGGTTGGGATATGCTGATTTGCGCTGTGAATGATCTGTACTGTTAATCTCTTCTTGATTACACGAATGTGTTAGACTGAACTCCAGCACAGAGTGTTCATTTCTCTTTTATTTTGGTCCCTACCAGGAAATGCTTACAGAGAATGCCTGGGCAATGGGACGTGGGCTTCCAAGATAAACTACTCTCAGTGTGAGCCTATTCTGGATGACAAGGTGTGTATTTTTCCTTTCCTTTGTTCTTCTCGGTGTCGTTTCTCAGCGTATATGAATGCAAAGCCAAGCTTAAGGTTAACATACTAATTTGGGATTTCTGAGCTGGATTCCATTTCTGTCTCTGCAGTGAATCCTCCCTGTGAGTTCAGTCAAACTATTAATCCAGTCTCCACATTTCCTACTCAAATTTTTGTTAAAAAACAAAGGATGCTTTACTAGATTCTGTCTCTGACATTGTATGTTTATGCAGATCCTTCTTAGCTTTGTTGAGAGCCTACAGCTGCTACAGTAAATGTTATTAATAAGAGCAATAATACCAAAAGCTTCATTGGGAGTGAAATGTAAGCTTTCATCAGCTGATTCCACTCCCTATATGCCAGTTCTGAAGTCTCATCAACAACTGGCCTTTCCAGATCTCAATGCCATTTTCCCTAAGGCAAATATGTAAAGGAAAGGCAAAAGAAAAATACATAAAAAGCAAACTCAAGTCCCAGCTGTCTGTAAAAGACTGAGCCAGCCTGACATTACATAGGAGTTTACAGAATCAAATTAACATACAGGGGTAAAGCTCCTTCAGAAAAGCTGCAAGCTTATGCAAAGCCCTTTTTTTTTGTCGGATGTCACCTTCTTTTGGACACATCACAGGCATTCATCCTCACACAGCTTAAACCTTTCATCCTTCCGTGCCATGTTCTCTTTCCCTTCTTCTTTTGATTCTGTGGCGGGGCACACAGGCACACTTAGGCTTTGTCCTGTCTCTTTGCCAAGGGTGGCCAAGCCCAGCAGCTCAGACCTCGTTATGTTTTGGGCTTCTTTGCACTCTTCTGTCATTAGAGTTGTGCCACGCCAGGTTCCAACGGAGGATGAAGACAAGGTCTTGCCTACTGCAAGCTGCTTGCAGAACTAATCCAGATTTCAGTCTCAGGACTGTCTGCACCCAGAACAGTCATAATGTGCCTTGACACTTGACCCATAAGATCCATGTTGCTAAATGTGGGCTTTCTCAAATGAATGAGAAAGCAGGTAGCTACACAGCAGGTGCTGAGGAGTACCCACTCATTCACTGGCGAGGTGGAATCCATCCCCTAAAAAAGCTAGAGGCTTCAGGAAAGTCAGAAGAATGCACTAGAAGATAACTGTTCTCCTTCGGGACTGATAAGCATTCAAGGTTGTCTGGCATAGTGGAGAAGGCACCATGGCATCTCAAGCTGAACCAATTTGGGACTGCTCCAGTTCAGCCTATCCTTACAGTTACCTTCCATTGAAATTGAAAACCCTTACTTGCTTTGTGCTTTTCCAGCTGGCTCAGTTCCCTGAACCATCATATTGCAGTATTGCAGGAACTTTGGGGACAAGGCACACGGTTAGGGAGGGAAGAGGTGTCTGGGATGGAGGGGGATAGCAGCCCATGGTAGCTCCGACTCAGGAGGATTTTCAGTGCTGTGAGTTGAGTCTCTTATCAGTGAGCAGCACTGGGGGGTGGAGTGAGGCATGCAGTGCTGACTTAGAGAATGGGGTAAAGAGCCAGGCAAAGGCTAAGCATGTTTTTGGTGGTTAGCTCATACAGGAAACCTGAGCTGACATTAGCTCTGTTTTTGCTTTTAAAAACTTTGCAGCTATGGTGATAGTTTAAGGATTCTGAAGTAGCATGTTCCTTAAACAGAGGAAAGTGCAGATGTTCCCTCCACCCCTGTTTGCAAAAGCTTAAACATTCATTTACTAGACCTTTAAAGATTGGTGACAGGCTTTACAATTTTTAATATTTGGGAATATTTTCTAAATCTCTGCATAATGCTCAGCATTGCAGATGAATACTTGAGTTGCTTTGTGACCTCAAAACAAATAAAGACAACAAAATCCATATGGATTTCCATAATCCTCAGTTTTGGTTAAAGGTGAGATTTGGGCACAGACATGAGCCTGTTGTTTGTTGTCTGATCCCAGCAGATGCCACGTATCTTCAGGCTGTAGCCCCACGTGTTTTGTCTCAAGCCTGAGCCCTTACCAGAGTTCTAAGGAAGGATGTAGCTGGACTTCAGATGCAGCTATCAATACATGATACATGGGGACAGGCGTTCTCAGGATCAGCCCAGTGTCAAATGCTTCATGCTATATGGAATCGTGGGGCCATACCACAGAAAACTGCAGTTCTTTTCAGCTTTAGGTCAGTTTCAAGAGGCATAAGATCCTGAAGCACACATTCACTGATGTACTGCATTCATACATGAGTGCTTAACCTGTGGCCATAGCTGATAAAATCATGCTCTGGGGCTGTTTTGCTCCTAGATGGGCTGGATTTAGCTTCCCCTGTGTAGTTAGGCAGTGTGGTTTAAGATGCCCCAGTGTATCTCCATACATCTGGCTGTTGTGACACAGGTCTTCTGGGATAACCGTGTCCTTCAGCAATTTGAGGTTGGTTTGTTGCTAGGACTGTCAAGGAAGCACAAAGTCTCCTGCATGCACCTCAAGGGATGCCTGTGTTTGTGCCACAGCTGTTTCCAGCCCTTGCTTCAGCTGTTGGTTCAGGTTTTCACAGATATCCTAATGTACATGTCTCAGTATCAGACCAAATTCCACCCACTGAATGATCAATTAACACCTTCTCCAGGTACCCAAATCAGGTACAGAAGCTGATTGTTTGGCACAGTGTGTAATAAATGGGAAGTTTCTACTTAGCTTGCAGTCTCCTGTGTCAGAGATCCTTGCTGCATCTAGTACAAATCTGCTCTTGTTAGAAGATAAATGACAGTCTCAAGCAGCAAAAAGTCTGCCTCAGCCTTCATAAGGAGCTATAAATCAAGAACTATGGGTTTGTTTATGTGGCCTTTGGCAGCTGGCTATGAAGTTGGCTCTGCTGCTCTTTTGAGGAGGCTTGAAGAAGTGTCGCTGAATCAGCATCGTGCTGGACCTAAGTTAACGTATCCTGCTGAGGACCACAGTCGTGTTAGGCACAGCCACCCAGCTTCCAGCTGGCCACAAACAGGAAAACAGTGAGCTCAGAGGCAGCTGCCTCTTCCCCTCAGTCTGACAGCAGTGAAAGTTTGCCTGGCTTTCTATTCACTTGTTTGGTGTTGAGTTATGATTCATCTCAGCTGATCTTTAATTATCCAGAAGTTACACGTTCGGTCCAACGAGTTGTCTAGCTCTCCTATGAAGCCAAGGGAGCAATAAAGAGGCCTCCTTGAGGAGTGACTCATTGCTGTTCCAACTGTTTTGCAGAAAGAACTGAACTGTCCTTGCACTGCGCTTTCCCTGACTGCTGGGAGCCCAAGGCTTTGCTTGGCCACTGAACTTGCCAGCAGTCCAACAGGATGAGATGGCTCCCTTATTTTGGACATCAGGGAAGATGGGAGGAAGAAGGAGAGCTGTATTAGGAGAAAGCAGAAGTAGTAGGCCAGGCTGGATGTGGCTCTGGGCAGCCTGGGCTGCTGGTTGGTGACCCGGCACATAGCATGGGGTTGGAACTGGATGAGCATTGTGGTCCTTTTCAACCCAGGCCATTCTATGATAGTAGAAGCCAAAGAATGCCAGTTTGTGTTAGAGCAGCATCTCATGTAACAATTACACTCCTAGTTTGGCCAAGGTCCTGGGCAACCTGCTCTAGGTGGCTCTGGGCAACCTGCTTGGGCAGATTGCATCACATGGCCTCTAGAACTCCTTTCCAACGTCAGTCATTCTATGAGTCTGCTTCCAAAAGTCTTGAAAGAGGAGATATGGTGTCTTCAAACTGGTCACTCATCCCTGGACTGGTAAGGAGGTCATCCTAACAACAGAAAGGAATCTGAAATGACTGATGTGGAACTTTTTTCACAATCATAGAATCATGGAATGGCCTGGGTTGAAAAGGAGCACAATGCTCATCTAATTTCAACCCCCTGCTGTGTGCAGGGTCACCAACCAGCAGCCCAGGCTGCCCAGAGCCACATCCAACCTGGCCTTGAATGCCTGCAGGGATGGGGCATCCACAGCCTCCTTGGGCAGGGATACCCTAGCAAAGGTAAAAGTCCTGAGAATAGAATGACTCCTTCACTCTGGGAAGCCCAGAGTGCCTTAAACTTGAGGAGTTGATACAAGGTAAAAGAATAAAGCTGCACTTCCTCATTTTACGTGGCAGATAGCACTCTCTGACACAGTGTGATTGTCAGACATGGGGTATGGAGTGGAAGAGAGCTCCAGTGACATGCCCACCGCCAGCAGTGTCCTTGCCATCCCCTTTTCTATTTCCTTTCTAACATAATGACTCTCCTTCTAAACCACAAATAGGATTAATCTGCATTTCAGTGTAGTGCACTAGCTTCCTGGAAGCAGAGGAACATTGTGTAGCAGTAGAAGTTTCTCAGCATTTTAAATGCATCAGCCTTCAAGACAGAACAGTTATGCAAGTATTTACATTAACTCATCTTTGACCAACGTGGCTCATTCTGGGCACGTGTTTTTTCAACCCTAGAGGTGTTGTCTCCACTTCTACCAGAGATGCAGATTGCATGTAGGCTGGTGGGAAGTGATCTTGCAACCCTGTCAGCTTCTTTTTTCATAGGCACAGAGTCACTTCTTGTTTCTATGATATTCAAATTTGCCTTCAGGAAACCTTGGTTGTGTCAGCAAAGGGAAAATAAATAAATTCAGGCCTGGTTTTCCTTCACCATGCACGTATCAAAGAGGACCTTAATTATTTGCTGGGTTTTTTTTTTCCAGTCAATTTTTTTTGTGTGTTTTGAACCATGCCTTCTTAAAACTGAAGTAAAGTTGAGATAGAGGTTAGGAGCCAAAGGAGCAACTGGAAGGGTCAGTATCACACAGCAGATGCTTGGTCTGGGAGGAGCACTGCCGTCTTCTAGAAAACTTCTAACACTACATGAGCAATTAGTCAGGAAAAAATTAAGCAAGCCACTTTGCCAGAGCATGAACTGAATAGCACAGCATTGCTTTTCAGGCAGACACATCAGTTAGAGTGTGTTTTCCTCCATTAGGTGACCTGCTGACTTAAAGCTTCATGTGGAATTCAGGTTTTGGGTTATTGTTGGATTTTCACTTTCCTCCTCTAGGCTATTCAGAAAATGGGCTGTGCTGGGGAAGTTTATTTTAGGGCATTTTATAATAGACTTGAAAATACCTTACGTGGTTGAGTTCAGTCCAGAAACAGCACATTACTCCATGTGCTGAAGATACAGGCAGGTTTCATCGTGGAAATGGTTCCAAGAGGGCTTGCTCTCTGGCAGAGCACTGGGAGATGCTATCTCCATAGAACAATGGTGCAGATTAACTACAGCTGTTGGTTGTAGTTTCATCCAAACTTCCATTCACTGACAAATTCCTCTGACTGGAATAAAATGGGAAGGGAAATTGCTAGAAAAAATGAAACAAAGTAGGCTCGACCTAAATTAGAAAATTGATGCTATTTGCAGGATTTTAGTTCAGTATCTTTATCAAAAGGGAGGAAATTTAGATTCTAGGTCTTTCTTTTCTGAGGAAGGAGGACATCCCATATGGGGGAAAAGTTTGCTTAGCCTGGAAAGAAACAAGACGTTCCATTTACTTCAAGGTCAAATTTTGGCCACATTGCATCGTTCCCTGATTTAGGTGGGAGCACTCTGTACTTATTTCTCAATCTGCAGGATCAAGAACCTACCAACAAAGCCCTCAGCGTCCTAAGAAACAGACTCTAATACAGAAATTTCATCTTATAGTTGGACCCTGCTAAAACCAAGAGCTCTGTTTCATCTTCTCAGACCTGAGAGGACCCCACCATCACTCTGTCAGTCCATATCACTTGTTCTGCCCTCAGAGAAAGATAAGGCTCATAGTTGGCAGGAAGGCTCCTCAGAGAAAAATCAGCTCATATGGAAAGGGCTTCTTCTGATTCACCGATTCATTCTATATGACAATCACACCCATCATACCCATTCATTTCCATGTGAAAATCAGGCCGTGTGTGAGGGAAAGTAGCATAACCTGCCTCCTCATGACTGTGTAGGCTCCAACATAGGAACCTTCTACAACATACTGATGTTTTGCAGCTGTGAGAAGATCATTGCCTGTGTCTTTGGTAGCTTTGTTTCCCCAAAAATACAAAGTTTTGCAGTTTTACATGATGATGAAAATAAAAGGTCTCAAGGAAATTGAGGAAAACGAGGGAAAAGTGACTTTTCTGCTGAGATTTGTAAGAAACTCTGGATAAATCCCAAACAGAAATGAAACCAAGCGTGTACTTTGTGCCTGGGCAGCATGTTTGGCTTCTACGTAGGCATCAGCCCTGAGGCTGTTATATCATTTGAATGTCGAGAAAAGTAATTACTGTTTCCTAAACTGATTAACTGTTCCTTAATGTCAGTGCTCAGAGGGTCATGCTGATTTAATCATGTTATCTCTTTACCTCCAGAGGAAGTATGCACACCATTACAAGATTGCCCTCATCATAAACTACCTGGGGCACTGTATATCAGTAGGGGCCCTTATAGTTGCCTTTATGCTTTTCTTGTGCTTGAGGTGAGTAATCTCTTTGCATGCTTCTAACTTGGTTGGGTGTTACCGGGTTACTCAAGCCCTCTAATCACACTGTCCAGTTTGTGTATCATCTTGAAAGGTTGTGGCTTTTCTGCTCCGGAGCCTGTATGCGTCTTCAATGGTTGCTGCACTGGATGAGCTGTGATGATGGCTGCCATGCTTAAGACCTGAAGCTTATTGGTATTCAGGAAGAGGGCTCTATGTGATTTATTGATGCAGCAAAAAATTCACTGAGCGTGGAGTGCTTCATTAAGGGAAGCTGGGATTTGAGTGTCGAGTCGCAAATTTGGGGGGCAAGTTTTCTAAGGCACTGCATGATAACATGAGGCATTTCGTGTTGCCTGGCAGACAATGCCAAGATCTAGACCCAGGGAGATGAAATTAAAGCTTTCAATTTTGATTTGGGTTAATTTCAATTTTTCTTCCATTAAAGAACTTGGAATTTTGCTTAAGTAACAAGGGGAGCATCTTTTTAGGACTTTTATCTCTGCAAGTGCTCATGAAACAAGGAATGCAGTCACTGCAGCCATGTAGAAATGCTTCCCTTCTCCTGGTCAAGTGGGAGTGACCTGGTTGAAGGATATTTCCATGTTATTAGTGTGGCCTTGTCTAGGAATGTGCAATCAGACCCCATCCAGGACTGTGATATGCTGATAGACAGTGACCAAAGTGAAAACACTGCTGCTTTCCTAGGCTGGAGCATCCCTCCAAAGGCTTACACTGAGTCTTTCCCTTAAGCAGTGCTAAGTGGAGGGATGGCCTTGTTAACAGCAAGAATCTCCTTTCACCCCAGTGTGTATAAGCAGAATAAACTGTGCTCGTGGGAAGAAAAAAAGTAAAGCTTTAAACATTCTCTGGGAACATTTCTGATGCATCAGTTTAAACTTCCACTTCAACCTTTTCACTGAGCAGATAGTGCTAATTCCCATCGTGCTTGGAGCCCTGAATTAATTCACACGGGATTATTAATTGCAACGATATTCTCTGCTTTGTTGCTGAATCTTTTATGAATGCTTAACTAAATAAATGCAGAAACAATGAGATGATCCGGGATCAACGTATCCAGCTTCTATTGGAAGTCGCCTCGCTGATCTCTTTTAAGCTGTTTTGCTGGTATTTAAATTCTGATTTTACGATTTAAATTTTGCAGCCTGAAAAAGGACTGCAGCAATTCAGTAGCTCCCTATACATGCTGTGAATTAAGATATTCAGTCTCTTTACATTTCCACTGCACCGTGCAAAAGAAAAACCCATTGCTCTGATATAACTTTCCAACCTGTGTTAGCCAGCGTGAGCTTTCTCAGTCTCTGCAGAGATGAGACAAAAGATGCTCCAGTAAAGGCGGTCCAGACTGCATTACTGCTTTCCCCTACACGTTTTCTAGGCTGTGTATATCTTCATCACCCTTACCTCTAGAAGTGTCCCAGGAGCAAATCCATTCTGATAATTGAGTCTTGTTATCTGGGGCTTTTTTTTTTCCTGCTTTAGTTGGGCCATTAGAAGGCATCTACTGTTTGGGTGATATGAGAGAATCTTAGAATCACCATGGTTGGAAAAGACCTACAAGATCATCCAGTCCAACCATCCACCTGTCACCAGTAGTTCCCTCCAAAGCATGTCTCTCAGCACAGCAGGAATGTAGATAATTCCTGCCTTAAAGAAAACCAACACACTAGAAGACCTTCAGGGCAAGGTCTGATAATTTCTTATATTGGAATTTCCATAGTGGAAATTTATCATTTCCTTATCCCTGACCCACTCTGCCATCTACCTTACTTCCTTGTGCTTGCTGAGGGTAAAGATGGAGTACACCTCCAGGAAGGCTCAAATTCTACAACTGCACAGTTTTAGGCTTCTCACTCATCATCTGCTTGATTTGCCCTTTGCTTTGTTAATGCACATGGAGACCCAAAGACAACCCTGTTTCAAATGATAGACAGGAGAACAGCTGCTGCGTTGGGAAAGAACTGCTGGAAGGGCTGGGAGATCTCTCACATTGGAGGTTTCAAGAGCAGGTTTAGTCTATGGCTGGAGTGGCAAGGGATGTTGCTTTGGTTACAATGAGAGGGGTGCTGTGCTTCTGGAGGTGAGTGGCTCCATCACTGTTGCTGCTCCAGCCCAACCTGCTGCATTGAGTGAGGTGTGGTCCTCAGTTCTGCTGAAGGGGGAAGGGGACAGAGCTGGATGTAGTCCTTCTTCCAAATGGGTCTTGGCTCATCTCTTCCCCAGTTCCATCTTCAGTTCCTTATGCCACTTTCTGACCTCCATTCACAGCTACACTAGCAGTGTTCTGTCCTAAACCCCAGGGGATTTTACACTGAAAGATGTTTTGAAGGGCAGAAAGCTCAGACATAAAAGCAAGCAATGAAATCAACTGCCATCTGTTTTGTGTTATTAGGAGCCCCCAAAGCAGCTGGGAAGGAAGGAGGGCTCAGCCAAGGACTCCCTTCAACTGGGAAGACCTATTCTAACTTTTTTAATACAGCTCTGTCACAAGCCTTCTTCCTGGGCACTGTAATAAAAAATATGCAAGTAAGCATTTCATTCAGCACATAAATACCAAAAAGTGAAGCCCAGCTCGTGAGAGAGGAGTTTATTATGACTGAATGATTCACTGAAATTTCTTCTAAAGATCTAGGTCACGGATGTTTCCTCAGGGTCTAAATGTAGGTGCTCTTAAAAGTCTAACGGCCATGCTGTTACACGGAGCAACAAAACCTGCAAGAAGAAATATGCTGAGAATGGAATATGAGGCATTTGTGCCTAAAGGCAGGTGTGCTGCAGAGCTGTGCTGATCCTCAGCACAGGACCTGGAGAGATTCGCTCAGTGCACTTCAGAGGGCGTTGTTAAATGTATGTGCACTGCCGTGAGCCTCCTGGGTTATCTGTTCTCCTCATTGATAGTAAAGGTTTAATTCATCCCGCAGGTGCACACAGGCAGTTCCTGCTCACATGGGGCTCCCCTTCCCACATAACCACATTCTCACCCTACTAAAGCAGAAGTTTTCCATAGGAGGAGCTCTGCTAAAGTTGATAGCAACCAAGCTAAAGAGGGAGAAAGAAAAGAAGGATTGAAATGCTTCCTTTCGCTAATAGATTGTTTTGCTGTTGCTGAGAATGCAGAAACCCAAATTGCTTTCTCTTGCCTTTTTCCTTGTTAGCATGCTGTTTTATCCCTCTCCGAGGTGGAGGATGAGTTCCTTGTAAAACTCCTCTCTTGTTATCAAACAGAATGATGGCAATTGCCAGCAGTGAACTGGCTGGATTTGATTTCCAAATGTTTTATTTGTGCATTGGTGTCTGAAGCAGAAGCACCAACTACAGGAAGATGTGTGTTTGTTCTGGGAAATGTCGAAGCCACTGCTGCGTTTTGAATCCAATAAAGAAGGATGGCACTTAGAGGAAGATTGAAGATTGAAAATGACAGGTCCTCCTGCACAGGTTGCAGGATAAAGGCAGCTCTATAAAAATAAAAGCCGCCAACATTGGCACAGCAACTTTTTCTGCTAGCATGGTAGTAATGAAAGTAAAATGAAGTGATGAGGGAAACTTCGCTTTCCTGTTCTTCCTAATTTACCGCTTTATATTCCCACTTTAAGACATCTGAATTTTTATTTTGCAAAGCAGTGTGCCCTTTCTTTCTGGAATAACAGCTAGGTTACTGAAACCTCACATTTTTTTTTCTCCTGACAGATTGAATTATTACTTTTTTTCTTTCAGCAACATGTTCACCTTTCTTTTTTAATTCTAATCAGCTCCCAGGGCTTAGGAGTAGAAGATCTGTTGTCTTCTATCTTCTCTTGTTCCACGTTTCTTTCAACTGTCTCTTGTTCTTCACTCTTGCACACGGTTGGTGAGAGTGGTACAGGTCCTAGAGCTTATCCAAAGAAGGGCAGTGCAGTTTGGGAAAGGTCTGGAGCACAAATCTTATGGGGAGCAGTTGAGGGAACTGGGGTTGTTTATTCCGGAGGAGGCTCAGGAGAGACCTTGTTGCTCTCTACAGCTCTCTGAGAGGATGGGAGATGGGAGTTGGTCTCTTTTCTCTTTTATGGATCCAAGTTGAAGGAGGGAAGATTTAGGTTGGATGTTAGGGGGAAGTTCTTTACTAGGAGAGTGGTTAGGCCCTGGAACGGGCTGCCCAGGGAGGTTGTGGATGCCCCGTCCTTGGACGTGTTTAAGGCCAGGTTGGACGGGGTCCTGGGCAACCTGATCTGAATGTGTATGTTTGGTGGCCCTGCCAGGCAGGGGGGTTGGAACTACATGATCCTTGAGGTCCCTTCCAACCCGGGTGATTCTGTGATTCTGTGATTTTCTCACATCACTTGTGATAGGGTGAAAGGGAATGGCTTTGAGTTGTGCCTAGGATAGGTTCAGGTTGGATATTTGGAAAAAAATTCTTCACAGAGAGAATTGTGAGGCATTGCTTAGGCTACTCAGGGAGGTGGTGGAGTCACTGTCCCTGGAGGTGGTTCAAGAGCTGTGGAAATGTGGCACTGAAGGATGTGGTCAGTGGGCAATAGTGGTAGGTGAGCGCTTGGGCAAGATGATCTTAGAGGTCTTTTCTAATCTTAATGATTCTATGATTCTGTGATTTCGTGGAGCAGAGTGATCTGAGGGCTGTCAGAGCCTTGATGATGTATCATCTGGGTAGGTGAGCTCTGCAATTCCTACTGAAAAGTCATGAGGTATCCAGTGTGATTAGAGCAGAGTAGGCTCCAGACCTAAGGTGCAGTCCTGCTGTCATGGAGCAAGGGAAAAATAGCAAGTCCCAGGATAAGGCATCAACTAAAAGTCACATTAGTGCTCTGTTTTGCCCTCCAGTTTCAGGCTTTCCACCTACCCTTGTTCAGTCTGCTCTATTTGCTACTTAGAATATCAAAGCTTTTAATGCTGATTCAGGTCCAGGGCATTTTTCAAACCTTGTAATAAATACTGGTGATCGAAGAGTATGTGTTTGGTGGGTGGTAATGGCTGTGGATTTG